AACAGATAAGTACATACATTTTTTAATATCGACAAATTATTTGTGTTTGTGTGTGCGTATATGTGAACAAAAATCAAAAATTAAATAAAGAAAATGACCAGGAAGGAGTTAAGCCAAATTGAATTTAGAAATTTTGGTTTGTGCTATAGCATAATTAGCAACTGTTCCTTTGCCATGCGCTTGGTACTTTCAAGTGAAAGTTGCGGATCCTTCGGATAAGACTTCAAAAACCAAGGCCCCTTGACTCGGCAAATATTTCTCACTGCTCAATGACCATGAGTATCGAGTAAACGTCAAAATCTGAAGACCTGATGGTGACGTCTCTAAATGAGTAAAAAATTCTCGAATAGGACGTAAAACGACATACAATCAATCAACCAAACGTAAGATTTTTAAACACAATAAATACAAGCGTTGTAGAGCTTTTCACTGATATTCTTTTCATGTCATGTTAAAGTTTGCAGCAATATTATATTTCATTTTAATGCGATATTGATTTTGTACAAGTTTAAATACGTTATACATATGTTGTTCCAGGCTACAAGATGTGGAAGCACCTGCAAGTTAATATTGTAAAACAAGATATATCATGCAAAAGCCATATAGGTAACGGACAAAGGTCACACAATAATACATGCATTATTAAATATTTATTTAATGTACACGTATACAGAAAACGTTTTATGATAAATTTTTTTAATAAGCAAAATTTCGTTCAACTGACACAGAACATGTGTATTAACCAATTAATGAACTTGCTGTTCCTGAAGAAAAAAACACAACATGGTTAAATAACTTATTCATATTAAAATTGCAATTCTAAAAAATGATTTTAAATAATCGACATTCATAAGAGAATTCCAACTTACCTTGTGTATTATTGTGTTCTAAAAATATTCAAAATAAAAAGAATTATTACATAATTCTTTCTTGTCTTTTACGTAATTTAACCTACTGCTGACGAAATGTGGGTTGCAAAAGGGAGACGCATTGCTTGTACAGGGGCTGCCCAAAAAAGTCCAACGTGAAATGGTGACCAAGATTACGGAGGTACCCCTCATGAATTAAGGCATTTTCTTTATTGTACATATTATGTAAATACTTTCCCTGATATTCAAAATTCAAGACCTAGTCTTTTATTAAGTAGCACTTACTTTGGAACTTTTAGCATTAGAACTATGTATATTTGAACTTCTTTTTACCCAACGTTTATAATGCTGTTCACTAAAAATTAACAATTTTTAATGGTGACATACACTTCTGTTTAATATTGTTTTACGTCTTTGTACCCAAACTCCCACACAATGAGTACATATACAGACCTAAACTCTGTATCATTGTTAAACAATGTGGATAGGCACAATTAACTTTGTACCCAGATTCCGACACATGCAATAAGTACTTAAAAGGCCCAAAATCTGCACCATTGTTAAACACATGGGTAGGTTCATATTCATGCAAAAACTTGTGCCTCTACTTCCACACGATAAGTACATTAGGCCTAAACTCTATATCAATCATAAACAAAGTGGTGGAATATAAACTTTGTACCATACCTCTACAAATTCTGTTCCGAGAATACACAACACGGAAACTTTATTTCACAACTACATATATGAAATAAAAAGCCCGATCGTATAATCATGTCCAAATAAATAATAACAACATAAGACATAAACCATTGTCATAATGGTAATGGGACAATAGGCAAAAACTTTTTTTTCTTTTTAAAAGAAAATTCCAAAGAAACAAGCTAACTAAACTGCCTGCGCAATTTTAAATCTTTGGAGCATATCACATGCTTAACACAGAAAATTGTATCCTTTCCTTTAATTTACAACAAAGGCTGACTAACTAACTTTTATCTATAGTTTGAACATATTTTATTGTATGAATAATACACAAAATGGTTTGAACACAAGTTCTAACAACTTACGAGGTTTTCACTATAAAAGGCTACAATTGTCTATGTCTATACATAAAAAGAAAGGTAAAAAACATTGATATATTAACATGTTTGTTTAAAACATACATTCTTTATACATGATAAATATATCACTAACGAGAGTTACGTTTTAGGCTGTAATATCTTATTAACCTTAATTTTATTTATATGACCTAAATATTTATCATAGCCAACCAGTTAGCATCAAACCACGGCCAAAATATAGATCCTCTCCCATTCTGGGGAGAGCTATATGCGGACTCCGAACTGAGGCTTGAGACGATGACCCATAAGCACCCCTGTGAGCAAACAAAAATAGTATAGAATGTTAAACTGGCCTTAATAATTAAGACAATTGAATCTCTGCAGTCCTTCTACTTCGAAGAAATTTAAATATACTCAACAGTTCTGAACAAATTTTATAATTTTCTGACAGAGTTTAATTTCTGTTGAGTATTTGGCAAGCACCAATTCAACAGCTGTTGCACTTGATATTTTCCTCTGACTTAATAATATTTCATACAGAACAGTATAACTGTACCTAAATGCGATCTCCTATATGCACGAAAAATATAGTTTTCAAGACACAACGAAATGTTTTATAGTAACTAAATCCATGAAAGGGTTTCGTAGATCAGGGGGTATGAACAAAGACCCAAGGATTCCTATTTTTACGAGCTGTTTCACTAAATTTTCCATTCCCTGCTTAATGTTTTAATTTTGGACACGAGTCTGCCCTCTATTCAACTCTAAAATGTATGGCGTGCCGAGAGTAAGTAAGTCACTTGATCATAATTTCACAGACCTCACAAATAAGCATGATATTTGCCAAATTACTATTCAAAGGTCTAAAACGAACAAAACTGCTCATTATTTCATTGCAGAATCACCTGTGATATGGAATCTATTCTCAGGCAAATTACATTATCATAAAAACTTTCCTGCTTCTTAGGGAGGGTTTGCAAGGAAATGATAAACTCATAACACATTTTAACTCTAAGTCTATATTCAAATACTAGTTTGAATCTGTATTTAAACTAGAGGCACTGTGAGCAATGAGCTCACTAAATGATACCCTCCGCCTCCCATATGAATATAATGGCAAATGTCCATGTTTTGCTGTGGGTAACCAGAAATATGTGTCGGATCAAAAAGTAAAGTAGGAGGTGCACAATGGCAATATGTAACTAGAAAGTCTGCTATTGCAAGCAATAGCTTATGTCGCCCCGAACTGGACAAGACTTTCATTCACTAAAACAATACCCATTAGCTAAGCTTGGAAAACCATCAACTCGTATCAGTCCTTTCAGTACTTACAGTACTTTGATTTAAAAATCAAAGTAAAAGATTTTTCACTTTCCCCCTGTTTCCATCGAAACTATTGACACTTTGCAATTTTTAAATGCAACACGCACAATTACAGATACCAATCATTTAATCAGTAAAGTTTCATGACGAATGTCCAAGGGACCAGAGAGAACACTCGTGGACAAAATTCGTCGCTTTTTGCAGGTTTCCATGGCAACGGTAGTCATTTTGTTACTGAATGACCACACAACACAACTACAAGCAGTGATCTTCCTTTGAGGAAAGTTTGAAGAGGATTGTCCCAGCCATCTCCGAGAAACAGCAAGTATAACAAAAACATGCGTACAATCGCAATATGTCGCCCGACTACGTTCGTGGCACAAGAGTTCGCGTACCTATCAATTATACCGAAATTTTCATTAAATAAAAAAAATACGTAATACGTATAAGGAGTGCAGCGCATTTTAGGTCACTTGTGAACCCCTCGCTTAATATCAAGGCTGTCGCACAATTAATCTTCAATCGAAAATTATAAAACACAAACCAATCTTTTGGGAAGGGACCATTCTTTATGGCATATGATTTCAAACGCATGTTTTACAGCAGCAGCGGTGACATTTCTCCACAACTTCGCTCAAACATCCGTTGTCCGCGACGCCATTACGTGACGTCACGGGCGCGTCCATTTACCCAAAAAGGAACAAAACTGCCTGAAATGCTAATCTAGATGATTGAGGTCAAATGCGAAAAGAAACAAGAGACAAGTTAGTAGACATTCAAGAAAATTTAAAACGGGGAGGTACAAGTACTTGTACTCGTATCTACACATAATATCGTTATCTCTAGTGAATTGTGTATGATTTTTTTTTCCTTTTGGGTAAATGGACCGCCCGTGACGTCACGTCATGGCGTCGCGGACAACGGTTGCACTCCTTGTGTTATTATTACAGGTATTAAGTATCTTACGAAAATTTCGGCAAAATTGATAGGTACGCGAACTCCTGTGTTCGGGGCGACATAATTAAGATTCTGTGAAAGTTTCATAAAATTTGATACACCTTAGGTCCAATGATTTAACTACACTAGATTTAAAGGGTATCAAACACATTCAAAAAATACGATGATTGTCAAAAAATTCCTCAAACAAGCATGGTTTTGTAGGAACCCGATAACATTATTGAAATTCTGTAACGCATTAAACTATTAATAATATACATTTTTGGATAAATATTGAACAATTACACATTTGAACTTCATTTAAACACATTTCAGTCTCTGGTGTAAGAAGGCGGCGCAGTACACAAAATTGCAATTAAAATTTTTTAAAGTTTTAATAGCATTTGAAAGAATCCTTTGTAAGACTGTATGGCAAATAGATGGCAACCGGAGGTATGATAGACTGGGTACGGATGCAAACGCTAAGTGACTTATAGGTCATATGACATACTTTCTTTGATAGTATATGCTTTATAAAATCATTTCGATTCAAAAATTGTTCAAGTATCTTTCATCAACTGGTAGGCAATATATCCGAAAAAATCTTCTTTAATACATCTTGCCAGATGACACTTAAATTTTACCAAGTTTTTTTAATGCGTGTTTTAAGACATTCTATTACGTTACGTCATGGATAATCGAGTTTTGCTCTATTATAAAAGATTTCACCAAATCAAATTTCCTTTATTTGAAAAAATTAAACAAATCAGTTTATACACGTTCCGAGACAATTTTTAAGTGTTTTTAGACAATGACTGATTTCAAAGTGTACTGGATCCTGTGCATATTTGCTGTTGTAAATTCAGACAGTAAGTTTTATTTCATTTTAGGATGGATAACAGCTAAATAAATGTTTAAACTTGTCGGTTAATTGTAGGTAATATTCTATTATCATTTACATAACTAATTTTATTTATAGCTAAAATTTATTTTTGCAAAAAACAACCTTTCCAACATTCAATTTTACACAGAACGTATTCTTCATTACCTTTTTAGAGAGGTTATGGATTTATTATATGAAATACAATTCAAGAGACCCATGGGCCTCATATTCATTTCTGAGCATTTCTTGATTGGTTTCATGTTAAAAATATCAATCTATCCGATTTATAGAGGTATCATATACCAAGGTGCTAAGGAAAGTAGGGGCAACATTTACCTGCAATTATTACTGCTCTGTATATTCGTTTGATTTAAATGTTAGAACGTTGACGTATGATAAATGATATAAAAGAAATTAGAAGGAAAACGCTTATATTAAGTCGAAATGAAGTTCATTCCCCTGCTGCATCTAACAGAAATTGAGTAAATTAAGTGACAACCTGTTCGTCTTCAAATGTTAAACCTAGCCCGTTCGAAAGAAACAGATCTTTGGCATGAGGCCTTAAAAGCTGAAACGTCTTGTCAAGGCAAGTACAGACAAGCCAAGGAATCTTTATTAATTAATTGCCTTGGGTCCTGCGGAAACGATTAAATTTGAAGTTCTGGTGATGTATTATACGAGTAAAAAAAATTGGCAAGAGACGTTTTAAAAGTATTTTTTAAAAAAAAAAAAACAGTGTTAATTTCATCGACTGATTTTAAGAGATAACAACGATTCAAAAGTAGTTTACAAGGAGCTTTCTAACTTTCAGTATTGTTTTATTTTAAAGTTTAATTCTAAAGCAATTGTTTTGTAAAACACGTTTTGATTGGCTAATGCACTGATGTTAGAAGCTGTAAAAGAGCATTAACGAGGCAGAAAGCTTTTCATTGTGACGTCATAATAGAGCCCCGTGACGTATTTCATGTAACAAAACTCCAAAAAATAAGACGTAAACAACAAACAAAATCCATAGATTGCATTAGAATGGGAATAACTATCTTCTAAATTAGTATTTGGTGGTCGCAAATACCAATTTAGACGATAGTTATTCCCTAATGCTTAGTATCTAGAGAAATTCTACCAGTATTTTACCAACTTCTTAAGGATACTCAGCAAAAAGAGCATCAGTAAGATTTTAATGCATGACTCAAATTGTTTCATTAGTTAACATTTTTTTTTCTTAGGCATATATGAAACAGATAAACTCATCTATAACTGCCCCCTTATTCTCTATTGGATAAAGAATTCGTGTTTCTTTGAATAAAATACAGATTGTACGATCCATAATTCAGGTGTTAACAGCACGGCTAAAGTGTTTCTTTTAAACGGCAAACACGACGAATTATGAATAAAACGTAAGATTTCTTTAAAGGCACACAGACACAGATTGGAAGTTAATATTTTCTCAAAATTTTTATTTTTCATTTTCATTGTATGCAAAAGTGCAAGGATGTGTCAATTAAAACCGTCCAGAAATTCGAAGTTTCAAGAACTTCGATATGAAACCAGAGGTACTGTGAGCAATGAGCTCACTAATGATACCCCCGCCTCCCATATGAATATAATGGGAGTGTCAATGTTTTGTTTTGCAAAACCCAAAATATGTGTTAGATCAAATGTAAAATAGGAGATGCACAACGGCAACATGTAATAAAGATTCTTTGAAACTTTCATCAAATTTCATTCAGTGGTATGAGAGGAGTTGCGGATAAGAGATGGGTACCCCAAAGCGTAACAGACAGACGGACGGACCTACGGACATAACGATTACTATTATATCCTCACGCTTTTCAAGCGGGGTAAAATAAGATTTTTATTACGATTTCGTGCCAAATGCTATTGCAATATATAAGTCGTGATATTATACAGAAAATTTGAGAAAATGTTAACTTCAAATCTGTATCTAAGCACCTTTAAGTTAAAAAACAAGAGAAATGTTGCAGACTACTATTTCTTGTTATTCTGAGGGTTTGGGTGCATTTTCTTAATGTTTGAATGACAGGAATATTTATATTGCAGCTATCCCAACATCAATCCCAAATATAGACCATTACTCTGGAATGTCTTACGGTTCTTCCTCTATGTCTATTTATGAAGGCGCTTTAATGAAATTAGGATGTTCTTTGCCTTCACTGGGGAATCCGCCGATTACATGGACATGGTATTGTGGGGGAGAAATCATGACAAACGTTACATTTTCAAGCAACTACTTGAAAACATACTTGAATTTCACTGCAACATGGAAGCACGACAGAAAAGTTTGCTATTGCAGAGCAAGTTCTACTAGTTTATTCTACGACGAAGCCTCTCGGTATCGCTACGAGATACGTGTTTATCGTAAGGATGCTATTTTTCAATACAATTAAAAATTAATCGCCAGTAGTTGAAAAATATTTCTTTTTATCGCAACTTATTTCAAATTGTAAATTTTTCTTCTTTTTATTGTTTTTGAAAATTGTATTTAATTGCTGTTATTTGATAAATTCGGTGTAAAACACGTTCAATAAAAACATAGTATTTCACTGATATTTAGTGAATAAATGTTGACTTTTGCAAGATTGACCCTGGACACGACCATTTATTTATCCATTGTCTCCTACAACTGTAGAGAGCGGTGAGAACATTAGCATAAAGTGTAATCTCACAACACTGGGATTTCCACAAATAATTATGATTTGGATCTGTGACAGCATGGTTCCACAGTATGGAACGAGTATAGGAACAGAGACGTACGTGGAAATCGAAGTTACTGCACGTTACAATGGAAAGTTATGCAGATGTAGAGGACTATCTTCCCCATCTTCTTACTATGCATACATGTACACATATGACGAGGTATCAGACCCTGTGGAGATCACCGTTTTACGTAAGATTTGTTGGTTTGTCAAATACTTTACATCTAGTTCTTGTAAAAAAAGCATAAGTAAGCACAAGACTAGTATTTACGTATCTATCTATTTACGTATCTATCTATACTGTTTGTATTAAGATATTTTTCTTAGCTCATTGACAACTGAGCAAATGTTTTTAGTTCAAATAAATTTTGAGCGTAATTTGGTCAGGTCCTTTATTTATAAAATTCTGCATCATTTTTAAGTTCTAACATTCAATCTGAATTCCACAGTGCAAATTTAACTATATTCAATGAAAAAAAAAACAGCGATTAAATTCCATTCAAGTAGAATTAAGATAGGGACTATATTTTGTGGCGGAAGGATTTTTAGGCGAAAATGATCAGTTTTTCCATTTTGAACTATAACAGTAGTGTTAATTTTGGATTTCTATTTTTCCTTCCTGGTTGCACAAAAAGCTGTTTTTTTTTTTTTTTTTGCAGTTAAATGTGTTATGCTGGTTCTGAAATATCTATTAAATTATTTCTTAAGAATAGTATCAATAAAGTGGGACAAATATAGTAAATATATTCTGAAAATCCGGGGGGAAATTTAGCCAAATTTTACGTAAAATTGACACTTTTTTTAGTAATATCTGAAAATTTACATCATATACCCCTTTTTTGATGTTCTTTTCTAAATATTCAATATAAATTTGGTCTATTTGCTTAAAATCAGAAAAAGTTTAAGACTTTAAAATAATTTTCTTGCTTATTAAATTTTCAATGCCAGAAAAATCACTTTTTATTAGAGCAGAAAGGTCAAATAATTGATTATGCGAAGCAATTTAAAACTTTTTCTTAGTCACAATTTTTAAGTGTCTTTTTTTTTTAAACAAACTTAAAGTTCATTTTGTTTCATGCTTTAATTGGATAAAAATATTGGAGGGAAAACGTCAAAAATATAATTTTTAATTGACACAAATTTCAGTGCAAAAAGGTCATATTAAATGTACTGTAGCGCCAAAAGAACCGTATTGACCCCCGTTTTTTGATTTAAATTTTAATTAAGCTATGTATATAGAAACTAAAAATATACTTGGCAAAAAAAGTTTAAGACTTTAAATATCAGGATCGAACGTCGTTAAAGAATCATATTTTTCAAAAAATACAGATAGTAGAACTATTTCCAGGTTAGTTTGGACTTTCAGTAAGGCGTGGCATTCTCGACGTTATTTTATTTGCTTCTGAAAATTATACAGCTTTCTTTCACTGTTGAAATATACATGGGATAGAAATTCGGGCAAATGCCAATTAGTGTATCGAAAAACCAATAATGTTGTCTCGTCTGGCAAAGAGGTGGAGCTTAAGTCGTCTTATCGTTGTCAACAACAATTTAAAGTTCCTGATGTTATTTATTTCTTAACCAATGAAAATCTATTCGCCATTTGACAGACGCTTATAACGTAGCACCGCGAATGCCACGTCTTACTGAAAGTCCAAACTAAGCTGGAAATGGTTCTATTTGTAGGCAAGCAAAATGAAAATTTTTAAGATTTCTTTTAGAATTTCTGGTTGAATAATTATTGTAAAAATGTAGACACACAAACACAAAAGTTATTTTACAAGATAAGCACATTAGGCATTTTATGAAGAAATTAAATGATTCGTGTGTTGTCCATTTCCGAAGCATAATTTTAAAAAGACCCAAATTTTATTATACTAAGTATGAAATTTTAAATTTGTTTAGCTAAAAGGGGGGAAGAACCTGACTGCATATCAGCTACAGCTTTTGGAACAATTACCGGGATACTAGTGACTATTATATAAGCATTAGTCACCGTCCTAGTATTACAGTATATCAGAGTTGGAGGTCTCTGTTCTTGTGAAAATTTCGGTGTTTATATA